TTTGCGGCCTAAAATTGTAGATGCTTTGCACACTGTATTTTGGCCGAGAGAAAGCATGGAAAGCAGGAAGGTCTTTTGAAGGCTACCAAAAAGGAAGGTGCCATTGGATATTTACCATATTGATCATCTAAGGTCTTTGCAAGCGACGAAAAAGAAGTATCGTCACATTTTTGTTGTAATTGACGCATTCTCAAAATTTACGTGGCTATACGCGGTGAAGACGACAAACTCTGCTGAAGCGATTGACCGGCTGAAAAAGCAATCGACGATATCTGGCAATCCAAAGATTATTGTTTCAGATCGAGGTTCGGCTTTTACGTCTAATGATTTCCGCGAATATTATACAGAGGAACAGATTCGACATGTTTTGACGACTACCGGTATGCCCAGAGGCAATGGACAAGTCGAGAGAGTCAACCGCACGGTAATACCTTTGTTGACTAAGTTATCGGCACCAAAACCGGGTGACTGGCATAAGTTTGTGGACACAGAGATTTTTTAATACGACGCCATATCGGAATATAGGCTCCGTTTTATCTTTTATTCGGGATTCACATGCGATTAAGGGATGATCCAGCAATTCGAGAATTTATCGAAAACGAGTGGATCGATATGTTTCAGACAGGTCGTGACCAGTTGCGAGACCATGCAAGGGACAATATACACAAAATCCAAGTTGAAAATAAGGGAAATTTTGATAAAAGGAGGACCGAAGTGAGACGATATCGAGAGGATAATTTAGTCGCTATCAAGAGAACACAATTGGGTCCTGGCTTAAAATTTGCATCAAAGTATTTGGGCTCTTACGCCGTGACTAAAGTATTGAGAAACGATAGATACGTGGTGAAAAGAGAACATGAGGGACCACAGGAAACTTCGACTGCGGCAGGATACATGAAACCGTGAGTTTCATATATTAACAAAGGAAAGCGATCTGTTGACGATGAGACAGGATACATGAAACCGTGAGTTTCATATATTAACAAAGGAAAGCGATCTGTTGACGATGAGGAAGGCAATAACTGAGAGATAAGCTTGAGGACAAGCTTCTGTTTTCAGGACGGCCGAATATGATAGTTTTCAAATAGACGAGCCGTTGAGCCAAAACAATCGTTAGAGCTGCTCCTTGTTTACTTGTTATTGTTTGTTATCACGCGCGTCTCACGTGTCGCGAGGAATATGATAGGAGTCGATCGGAGCGAGACGTGGCCTTTTATCTTTAGCGTCTTGTCGCGTTTTTGCGTTGGAATGTCGCCGTTAGCGTTGTGGCATTTGCGTTGTAAAAATTCTGTTGAGCAGTTCTGACAAGTCACGCCTGATGCTAAATAAATCTATCAGTAAAAGAAAGAAATATTTACTAAATTAATATTAACCTTACAGAAATATATTGTAATTCAAAGCCAAAAGAAGATGTATTTTTTTATACGTGTTCAGACGGTCTTTTAGGGGGCAAAACACCCTGATTTTTTTTCTTTAGAATAATGTTTCATCAAAAGTGAGAGATAGTAAGAGATAGAAAAAGATTTTCTAGACAAAAATTAAATGGTTTTAGGAGTACTTTGCAGTGACAAAATCAGATATTTGAAAAATGTTATGATTGTCAACACTCCCACCACTTTACTACTTTCAAATATTTGATTACAAATTACACTACAAAATACTCCTGAAACCATTTAAATTATGTCTAGAAAATTTTTGTCTATATCTCATACTTTTTACGAAACATGCTCTTAAAGAAAAAAAATCGTTTGTTTTTTCAAAGGGGTGTTTTGCTCCCTAAAAATCCGCCTGAGTACGTATTAAGAAATACGTGTCTCTTCTTTTGGTTTGAATTACAATATATTTTAAACTCATCTAAATCGGAGCTAAACACCTATGTGGGGTTCCTTGTAAGATGTCTAAGATGCATTCCTGGACAATATCGTGCAGCAGATATTCTCAAAGAACAAAAATATCGTGCTGGGACTCATAATTTAGAAAATAATCCGGAGAGATATTGGCGTCTATGTAAAAATCCCGAAACTTCTCGAGAAACTTTCTCATATGAGCCGGAGAGCTGTACGAAGTGCGCGATCTCGTGGAAGTTCGCGCCGCTTCTACGAGCGAGCGATTTCGAACAAGCGCGAGGAGTGCCGTTTTCCGCAAACCGATGACTTTTCACCGCGAATCGCTCTGAAGAAACGCTCGTAAAGAAACGCGCGCGAGAGGTATGTAACATTAGCTTCGGCATATAACGCGGAGCGGAGCGCAATTACGGCGGACTCGAGGCTGCAATTTAGGGTGGACGAAAGAGAAACGGAATAATTAACCGGGAATAATTATAACCGGGTTTCTTTTATTACGAACACAGCGCGTAATTACAGAAACGCGCGTCTACTTCGTGAAAGTATCGCACTTTTCGCCTTTCTTACTTTCAAGCTGCTCTCCGTCACGAGAGTAGCGAGAGGAGAGAGACGGAGAAAGAAAGAAGAAGAATGAGGATTTGCGGGGGTGGGTGGGACTTAAGTGTACGATTCAGAATGGGGAACGTAAAGCTCCCGGTATAAATGGGTCTCAGGGACGCACAACTTGAGAAAAATCCCCTTCTTGTTCTTCCGCGTTCCTGTTAGACGTGCGTACGTCGAGCGTTAAATGCCACGAATAATTCAAAAAAAGTTCGCGAGATTTACGGATGCAATCCTTCTTTCTTTCTTTTGTCAATGAAATATTATTTTATTCGCACAGTGCAGTTATTTTGTAAACAGACAGAAAGATAAAAAATAATGTAATATTTAATCTTAACGGTGAATATTCAGTTATTATGGTCGTTATTTAACAGATAAAGATTCGTTATTATTCTACAATTTTTGTTTTTGACGAGATTTATTATTATTCTTGTGTACAATACACATTATGTAGCTCATGACTTTGAGTAATATTTGAAAGATTTTGGTTGGCGGTTATTGAAAAGTTATTAACACATATTAATCGAATATTGAAGAAAAAAAAAAAATATATATATATATAAACTTAAGATTTCTTGATTTTAGATCGGAAAAAAAATATCTTTGGAATTTTTATTGCTGCAATTTATTGCTGTCATAAAACAGATAAAATTTTATTTGCAACTCCTTTGATTACAGTTTTGATCGCAAGTGCTTCAGAAATCGTGCAGACCATTACGACCAATATGAGATTATATCTTAGGATATTTTGCGGGATATTTATTTAAACAATCATTACAATTATTATATATAAAATATTCTCTTAAGGATACCTACTTTTTCTAAATAACGAAAAAACTTAAAAAAGAAACGGGACAAAATATTGATCATTTACTGTAATAATATTTTTCGTTTTTTTTTCATTCACAACTTTTAACTGCTTGACACGACATAGTTGTGAAGTCCTAAAGATTCAAAGTTATTGTTAAGACTTGAGTCAAGCATAAAAATAAATTTGGTTTTGGACAAAAATCGTCGAATAACAACGAATCTTTATTTGTTAATAACTTGTTATGATCGCTAAGTAAAACTTGTTGAATATTACTCAGAATCATTATCTCTACGGTACATATCAAAGTCATCAAATATTGTGACTATAATCTGAACATTTATCCTCCACCGAATTACTGACTTCAAGAGAACTCCTCGCTTTTCTCGCTCTTAGAATCTCTCTTTATCGCTCCCTGTATACGCGCTAATTCCGCGCCTGTGTCAAGCTGTTTCCCGTGCTGCTCGCGATAATCAAGTATCGCCCTGGAACGAGGCGAGAGAAGCTACAGGTGATGGAGAGACTTTAATTCACTTCGACTTAGCTCGAGCAGCAGAGCGCCTCTCGAGATAAGCTCGGTTAACGGTGGTACGGCGCGCCTCGATGAATCTCAAACGGGAGACTGCTTTCATACGAAAGCACGACCGCTCTCACCCCGTCGCCCTCTCATATGAACATTTCCACTGTGGCTTTTGTCCCACCCACGGCGCTCGTCCGAGTCCCTCTTATCGGAAATTGGGATGTTCCTGTG